CAAAAGGAGAGTGAGAAGGAGGTTTGGAGATGAAGGTGGAAAGAGAGGGCGAGGGACAAAAGATATCAAGAAACAACAGAAAAGAAGGAGTAGCAGGCAGAGAGAGACCTGATGAGGAGGCAGCAGGCACAGCTTTCTCAGCTGACCTCTCTAAACTCTATTTTTAAAGATCCCTGGGAAAGGAAATTCTGCAAACTCTCTTGGTTACATGTTCCAGTGTTTATCACCCCTCACTGCTCACTGTTAGGAAGTTCTTTGGTATATTTAACTGAAATCCCTCCTGTGGCCATTTGAACTTTTATTCTATTCTTTGTGTAGCTAGGGAAGAGTAGTTATCACCATATACTCAAAACCTCATATACTCAAACACATTAGGTTACCTATCAACTTCCATCTTTGTAGGCAAAATAATCCACCTTCCCAGAGATTTTCTTTAGAGGCTGTATTCTCAAGTGCATCATTTATCTGGCCTATCAACTCGCCTCCTTTTCTTCTCACTGTCTTTCCAGAACATCCTCAGCCCTCCCATTTCTTATTATAGTCCTTCTAACATTGCTTCTAGGGCGTAGTCACAGTAAGCGAATCATAACTGTTCCTCCTATAGGCTTGCTTTTTTTTTGTAGCAGACCCACCAAAGGACTGTAGGTGGTCATAGATAGGCTTCTTTCTTTCCTTTCTACACTCCTAGAATTTCAATGAAAGTCCTAGGATTGGAAATCTTTAATGGTATCCTCCCCTGAGATAGTTTCTCAGCTTCAAATATAAACTTCTTTACCTTCTGTCTTAGTGTTTCTACTGCTATGATAAACACCATAACCAAAAGAAACTTGGGGAGGAAAGTGTGTTTTTTGAGTCCTTTGAGGAAACCCAAAGAAGCAACTCAAGGCAGGAACCTGGAAGCAAGAAATGAAGCAAGGACCATAGAGGAACACTGCTTACTGGCTGCCTCCTCAAGACTTGTTCATCTTGATTTCTTATACAACTCAGGACCACCTGCTTCTGGGTGGCACCACCACAGTGGAACAGGCCTACCCATACTAATCATTAATCAAGAAAATGCCTTGCAGAGTTGCCTATAGGCAATCTGATAGAGGTATTTTTCTCAGTTGAGGTTCTGTTTCCCAAATAACTCTAGCTTGTGTCAAGTTGACAAACAAACAAAATCCCCAAATCAACAAACAATGACACAACAACAACAAAATATAAAACCAGGACACCTTTACTTCAAAACTTTTCTACTGGCTCTACCTCCTCAGTCCTCAAGCATTTTAGTCTGGAAAATTCTGTCCTGACTTACAAGGTTCTCCTCCTTACCTGTCTAAAAAAAAAAAAAGAACCCAAGTATTCAAGAAAAGGCCCATAAAGAGGCCAAGCATCCATGTGTAAGCACATGCTCATTTGGAAAGATACAGTGGGTCACTATGGAACCTCCTCTTCAGAGAAGAAAGAGTAGTCCTGAGAACATTTCTTCAAGATGGCCTATAGGGCAGTAAAGACTTAGAGGGCCGAAGTAAGGCATTTGCTTTGAGCTTAGTAGTTAAGATTGGATCTGCCCAGTTTCTAGACCTAGTCAATTTTAAGATTCTAAATAGGAAAACCATCTCCATTTGGATTTGTGTAGCTTCCAAATCAGGCTTATTCGTCACCCAAATTTCAATTCTAGTTAGTGTAGTGGAAAGAACCCAGGATCTGGACTCTGGAGATAAGGATGCAAACCCCAGCCCTGCCACAGAGTCACTTTGAACCTTAGTTTCTCCATCTGGGAAACAAGGAGCTTGACCTCAGTGCTTTCTGTCTCCTTTTAGACTGAGGTTCCACAAGGAAGACTGAACTATTGTCACTTGGGAAACTCACCCAGCCTAGATGTAAGGTGTGCTTTTCCCTGCTTATTTTCGAGTTAGAGTATACATAGAAGTTGATGCATATTAGGCTGTCCTGGGTTCCCACATTTTCAGGCTTCACAGATTTTCCAGCTAGAGGGTGTTCTGTGGGTAGCACAAGCTCAAGCTCCAAGAATGTGAGTCCTCTGTAACTGCTTAATATAATTTTAGAAGAATTACATCCAGAGCCTCCTCCAGTCCAAGAAAATAACTGTTGCAGTGTAAACAGAGAGTGATCACTTATGAAAATGTTAGCAGGCATCTGAGAAATGGAATCTGCTTCAGCAGCTGGCCCTCTGCTTCTCTGAGAGTTTCATTCCTCTAGAAAGTTAGGGCCAGAGAACAGTGTGCAGAAAATGACCTCTGGACCAAGAGATTGAATTCCTTCTTTAGATTCCCTAACTTTGACAGAATACTTCATGATACAAAAGCCTAGAGACGTTTGTACTGAGAAAGTTACCCTGTGTAGTCACAGATAAAAGAATAATCACATCATTTCAAAGCTAAACTTCATCAAAGGGGCATTTCCCTAACCTTTCAGCGAAGTCCCAAATGTTGAAAGAACAATGGAAAGCAAGTGAGTAAAGGGAGGCTGGGGTGGGGGCGGGGAAGAAAGGGTGTAATAGGAAGAGAGAGGGAGAGAGCTGTGGGAGTAGGAAAATTCCATTAAAGGGTGAAAATTAAGTGAACATTCGATTTCTCTCTTCAAGTGCCTATTCACTGTGTCCAAGGAAATCCATATTAAATGGCTTTTAAATCACCTCTGGCCGGGTGTTGGTGGCACACGCCTTTAATCCCAGCACTCGGGAGGCAGAGGCAGGCAGATCTCTGTGAGTTCGAGACCAGCCTGGTCTACAAGAGCTAGTTCCAGGACAGGCTCCAAAGCCACAGAGAAACCCTGTCTCGAAAAACCAAAAAAAAAAAAAAAATCACCTCTAAACAAAGTAGATGTTCAAAGCTTATGAGTATTTTCTTCTCAATAATGTTTCATACATAAGGTAGCAATACTAGGCAATCATGTGAGTTATAATTTCTATCTTAAAGAGATGTAATGAGTTCAGAACCGAATGCTTGAAACTCAAATTTATTTATTTATTTTTAACAGACAGAGCATCCTAGTGGTGAAACCTGGGAAATAGCAGAAGGACTCCATGCTTACTCCTGCTCTTTGGTGTTTATTAACTTTGTCCAGTTCAGGTCTTCAGAAAGCTGGGCAAATTTCCAGCCTTTTTTTCTTCAATAGGACCACACATTTGTGAGCCACCTTGTAGGTGCTGGGAACCACACCAAAGTCCTCTATCAGAGCAATGTGTGCTCTTAACAGCTAAAATATCTTTGCAGCCCTGGTAAAGCATTTTAAGGTTCACAATCCAAGCGGATTGGGAGGCCTAGGCAGGCAGATCACTAAGTTTAAGGTCAGTCAGGGCTACAGATTGAGTTCAAGGCCAGCCTCAACAACTAAGTGAGATCATGTCTCATTCAAAGAAAGTGAAAGAGGGCTAGTGATATAGTCCAATAATAGTGTATCTGCCTAGCACATCCAAAGCCCTGGGTTAAATTTCCAGTATCATACAGACAGAGCAAAAAGGAAGGATTTTTAAAGGGATAACTTACTAGTTTTACATTATCCCTGTCTTCCTTTCATGTCAGAACCCAGAAACAAACTGGTACATAAGCTGATTTCACAGTTGGTTCTTTTACTGCAAATGAGTGGATTTCATTTGCCTAGTCCTTACAACCTGCTTTCTCTTTGGATCCTTTTTTTTAGACAGGCAAACAAGAACTCCATGTACATCTAGCTAGTCCCATGTTAGGTGCAATGTGGACTTAAGAAACCAAGGGCAGCACAGTGAAATGCTCCAACTAGCATCTACTTCAGAAACATGAAAGGAACAGAGTAACACAGCAGCATAAGTTTTTTTTTTCTTTTTCTTCATTACAGAGAAAATGATATTGAATTCTCAAAGCAAGAGGTATCATCTTTGATCATCTGGGAAATTGAATAAAGACAGCTTTTAGGCTGAGAACCAAAGTATTGATACCTTTCCATAGGTAGTGTTTCTTTTCTCTATAAGTGGTCTTAGGTCTTCATTCATGTCTGATAACTGATCTGCTAAAGGAGGCGGAATGGAGAAAAAAGAAGGCAATGGACAGAGCAAGAAAGGAAATAAATATGAGCTGGAAACAGATATGTAAAAAGGAACAAGAAAGAACCAAAAACTGAGGGCTTGGAGTAGATTGTAGTGGTAGAACTTTTGCCTAATATTCTTAAGGCGTAGGTGCTAGGTCTGATATCCAGTGAAAGGGAAAAGGGAGGACACAAGGGACAAATAATAATAATAATAATAATAATAATAATAATAATAATAATAATCATCATCATCATCATCATCATCATCCAACAAAGATAACTTGCACGTGTTGCTAGAGTCAATTCTATTTTCCATGGCTTGTTACTGAAAAACTAATTCTTGCTCTTTATAAAGAGTAACACTCAAGTAAATGATTGAATAAAACAATGGAAAACTAATGTTGACAGAAATTAGTGCAAAATCCTACCTCATTCATTTTTTTCTATTTAAAAAAGACAATGTAATAAAATCAAGAGCGCAACTTACCCTTTTTCTTGTTTTTAACAGGACCTATTAGAAACAGAAGATGGAAGATTAAGTTAGTAGAAATTTTAAAAAATGGTTGTTCTCTAGAAAGTCACTAAGAGGGTCCCTCATGGCACTGCAGATTTAAGAGAACCGCATAGCTATGGGCCAGGTTTTAGACAATATATCCATTACCCAATTATCAAGCTTCTTCCATCTGTTTTCTGGCTGTGGAAATACATGAAAAAAAAAAACCACACGGAGGATTCCTCCCTTAAGAAAACCAAAACTTTCCACTTTAGTTAGTAGTGAGAGAAATGGTATTCCTCTGTAGAAATGAAATGCCCAGAAACGTACAACTCAACAACCTCAGGACAGCAATCCAGTAGTTTTGAGAGTCCTGAGGTTGCAGAGTCATGCATTCAGGTGAAGCTGTGACACAAAGGTTTAGATGGGGATACTAGAAGGGAAAAAGTGGTGTTCTTATGGAAGGAGCAGAGCAACAGTAGTTTACTTTCTAGTCACTTCTTTATTGTGATCTAATTTGTTAGTTGTTAGAACAGTGCAACCATAATCTATTCATGTGGGGCCACATGTACTCCCATAGCAATTTACCATAACTTAATAGATGCTTTAAAGGAAATGTCAACAGTTTCATTGGTAGTAGAATCAGAAGTGTCTTCTCATGTATTGCTCCTAAGGAAAGCAGTTTAAATCAATACAGAGAACCCAGAAAACCAAAGGCATGTCTAATATAGTTAGTTGGCATTAGATGACAACCACTCCCTAGAAAGACATAGTTTAGGTATCAGGTCACTTTTATTCATAGGGATTCGGGTTTCTTCTTTCTTCAGATGAATCTAACATTTTTCAGACACAGGTATTTAAACTCTGTTACAACTTGCCACAGACCAATATTGCACAGGACTAAACAGCCATCAGTGTCCTTAGGAGCATTCTATAGTCTTCAGTTTACAGATCATGCTTCTGTGTATTATCTAACTTGATTCTTGTAACAAGACTACAGTGATCTTCACATATGAGATCAGGTTTCATAGCAAGTTAATAGAGTCTCTAATCTGGAAGATTTCCAGTTCCCTTAGATTTCTCTCACAAAGGAATGTGTAGCGGTAGGAATTTTGTGCACTGTGCAGATGTTTCCGGTTTGGTGGAGCAATTGAAGATCATGAATTTCTCATTTCATATCCTTCTTTTCCTTATGTCTTCTCTTCCTAGTCCTTTGGCATCTATGTGTTTTGGATTTTTGAGATAGGGTTTAAATGCATAGTCTAGCTTGGCCTTGAACTGCAATCCACCTGCCTCAGTCTCCTGAGTGCTGGGACACAGGCATGAGCCATACTTGGCTCCTTTATGTTGTTTTTCAAAACATTAAGCATTCCTGAGAATGTGCATAAAGGTTCTGACAGGGAAACATGGCTAGGACTGGATAAGAGACAACAATATAACCTGAGAAGGGACTTCTTATTGACTAAGAAAGCTGTTTAAGGAAGGGTTTACACTCCTCCACCAGCTAGTTACCAGTTGGCCAGTTAGCCACCCCAGCCTCATAAGTAAGAACAGTAGGATGACAGCTGCTGGAGCTGCCCTGCCCTTGTAGCCAAGGTGGCCTAGCCCTGGTCTACTTTTTGGCCATTTCAGCTATTGCATCAGATGCTGAGGAAACCAGGTCATCGCCAGCCAGCTGGTCTTTTCTGGGCATCCCTATGGAAGGTAGCACAGTAAATAGTGCCTGAACACCACTATCAATAAAACTGACAAGTTGGATAGGAAAATATTAAATAAGGGGTACCTTAGGAGTAATGCTGTCTAGTTGGGTTGAGGAATAAAAGTTTTAGGGACCTTCCCCACTGTTGCTAGGAGTCTTAGTTAGGATCATCCTTATGAATTACTGGGAACTGGCCTTCCTCTTTAATCAGATTAGTGAATACCCTAACTGTCAACATAGAACCTACATCCAGTAACTGATGGAGGCAGATGCAGTGATCCACAGTCACACACTGATTTGAGCTCCTGGAGTTCAGTTGAAGAGAGGGAGTAGGGATCACATGAGCAAAGGGGGGGGCAAGATCATGATGGGGAAAACCACAGAGACAGGTGACCTGAACTAGTAGGAGCTCACAGACTACAGACTGACAGCTGGGGAGCCTCCATAGGACCAAACTAGGCCCTCTGAACATAAGTAACAGTTATGTGGCTTGATCTGTTTGGTGTGAGTGGGGGCACTGGTAGTGGGACCAGGACCTATCCTGGGTGCATGAACTGGCTTTTTTGGAGTACATTCCCTATGGTGAGATACCTTGCTCAGCCATGATACAGGGGGGGGGAGGAGCTTGGTCCCGCCTCACCTTGGTATGTCAGACTTTGCTGACTTCCCAAGGGAGGCCTTAGCCCCACTGAGGAGTGGATGGGGAGAGGTGGAAGGGGTGGGAGAAGGGGGGGTAGGGGCAACTGGGGTTGATATGTAAAATGAAAAAAATTTCAATAAAAATGTTTTAGGGAAAAAGTTCTCCTTAAATGTACAAGGGAAAGAGGACACCTTTCATTTGTTTGTGTTTGGACACAGGACCTTGCTATACAACCCTGTCTAGCTTGGAATTTACTTGTCCCAGAATGGCTTTGAACTCAGAACTCAGAACTCAGAGCAATCCTCTTGCTTCAGCCCCCCAAGTGTTTGGGATTTACAGTGATGTGCCACACTACACCTGAGTTGGGAAAGGGAATTTAAAAGACAATTTCTACTACAAATCTGGCCAAGAATCTATGATTGGGAAGCTCACAGGCTCTAGGGGGTGAATCTACCACTACTATTATTAGTGCAGCTCTCAGACCTCACCAGAGAAGTGTGCAGTGGATGGTGGTTAATGCAGAAACTCATAAGTGTCAAAGTGCAGAGAATAAGTGTTAGTGGAGTGCTCAGCCATAAACTATTGTCCTGGCTACCTTTTTTAAAGTTTTTTTAATCATTTTTTATTTGAATTACAAACAAGGTTGAATTACATGACAATCCCAGTTTCCTTCTCCCTCCCTTCCTCCCCTACTACACCCCAACTAAAACCTTACCTATCACATATCCTTTCTTCTAATCTACACCTGACTCAACCTTTCTGCTCCCTCATGTCCTCTGAATCCTTCCTCTTCTTCCCTTCTCATTCTCCTAGCTCCCTACCCCTCTTCCCATGCTCTCAATTTGCTCAGGGGATCTTGACCCTTTCCCCTTCTTCAGGGGACAAAGTTTGTCTCTTTTAGGATCCTCCTTGTTTACTAGTTTCTCTGGCAGTGTGAATTGTAAGCTGATAATCCCTTACTCTATGTTTAAAACCCTCATATGAGTGAGTACATATCATGTTTGTCTTTTTGTGATTGGGTTACCTGGATCAGAATGGTTTCTTCTAGTTCCATCCATTTTCCTGCAAATTTCAAGATTCCATTGTTTTTTTCTGCTGAGTAGTACTCCATTGTGTAAATGTA